TGGTCCACAACGCCCAATTTTCGACAAGAAGTTCGACGTCACCTCTTTTTAGCTGACTTCGACTCCTTCCTCAGAACAGCTAGAAGAAACGGCATCAGCAACGAGGATTTCAACAAGTCGTTCTCGTATCTGAAAGGTGTCAAACGACAACGCATAGATCGAGCTGGTGAAAAAAAGCACTACTTGAAGGCAAATAACGTGACAGCGGTTCCTTTCAATAAAGGGACGGGTTTTGTCTGATGTATGCTTCAGACTAACTACGAGTCCCAGTTGGCTGATATTTTGGACGGTCGACAGTTCAACACACTTGCTCGTGAATAGCGTCCTATGGAGATCCGTGTAAAAGAGGAGTTCAACCGTGAGCTGCGCTCACTTCTCGAAGCTGGGAAAATATCAGCCGGGTTTTTTTTGAAGAAAAGAATTCCACCTGAGCCATCCCTGCTCGCCTTTATGGGGTAGCGAAAGTTCACAAGAAGGACACCCCGATGCGCCCGGTTCTTTCACTGCCTGGCAGTTGCTATGAAAAACTTAACAAGAAGTTTGCTGCGTAGTTTGACGATGTCCTTGGCTCGAATATCGACCTCAACTTTGAAACTGAAAGTTCTGCTCACCTCGGTGCAGTGTTCGATGGACGTCAAGAGTCTCTACGCCAACTGCATGTCTTGGAGGCTATCAACATTGCTCCGGATAAATTGTTTGATAGAGAAGACCTTCCTCCTGTTGACAAGCCCACGGTTATGCAGCTGATGAGACTTGCCGCTTCAAGGTTTGCTTCGTTTCTGGCGGAGAATGGTATGATCAGAACGACGGCGCTTGAACCTATCTTGGCTGGCGATGAGTTCGAATAAACACCGGACGTTCAACAACCTGTCTTAGACACCGGTGCGGTGTTTGGTTTCACCGTCCTAGTGCGAACCGGTCTACAGCTGAGATCAAGGCGAGACGGCGGTAGTTCTGCGGTTGCTCGAGACCATTGACTACAGGCCCACACGTTGTCATTCCTCGCGCGAAAGCATTTGGACGTTATATGGACGATACTATCCGAACTGCTAAGAAGCAGACAAAAAAGACATCTTGAGAGCGGCTAAATGACTTCACCAGTCTGGAGTTCACGATAGAAGAATAAATCGGGGGGCAAGATACCTTTTTGGATATGTTCCTAGAGCATCGCAACAAACGAATATCCCCTTCATGCTACTCTCCACCTACCGACAACAAAAAAAAAGAACATCATTGAGGGGGCCCAATCACCGCTTGCGCAACACATCTTCCAGGCAAGCGTTCCACTAAGGACTGGAGCAGGCGAAGGTCACTTGGGAGAAGAATCAGAACCCTCCAGAGTTCTATCAGAGACTAGAGTCCGACACTATTGAGAAGTTACTCTGCGCAACGCCAGCTACCAATGACAGAAATCGAACCTACGAACGTCCAATGATGATCCTCCAGTACAGGGGAATCATATCAGATCAGTTCCTGAAGAAGAAACAGAGTGTGTTAACAGCTGTAGTGTTTACTAGACTGAAACTTTAAACTTGTCTACCATCACTCTAATGCCGCCAATCCCTGTGGACACCCGAAGTCACGTCGTCTATCAGATAGACCGTCCTGGCTGCAATACCAAATATGTCGGCCAAACGAGCCGTCATTTCACAACAAGACTCAGCAAGCACCTGACCAGAACGCACGAGTTGGCAGCCAATTCAGTGAGTGTAGTCTCTCCACTTCCGATATTCGTGTACTACCTGCTAGTACCATCACAGCACCACAACATATGGTTGAACTGTCAAAAACTGTGAATTTTTTTTTTGAAAATTGAAAAAACACTCAAACTTCGAAAGAAAGGAAGAGCTGTCACATTTAAATCCCACATCTGCAATTTCTGGAAAAAATTGACATCACCGCGCCAAAGCGTCGCGAATTCCTTATCAAAAACTTTTTTATTTTAAGATATCATAACAGCGCCATATTTCTGAAACTAAAAGGACTTGAGCAATCATATTTGGATGGAGGCCACAGCTGCAACTGCTGGGAGTACAATGAAATAACTCTATATTTTTTGGAAATATAATTTTTGAAAAATAATAAAAACGTAAAATCTCGGAAACTAAAAACCGTTGAGCAGTCATATTTGGAGGCCAGGAATAAACCTTCAGAGAATTTTACAGTATAGAAATGAGAATTTCCAATTTCTTCGAAAACTAGGGGCCCAGCTGAAAGCTGGAGAGACCTGTTTGATCATTTTAATATTGATTAGTTTAAAATTGTTTTAAAATTTCAGGTTTCCCAAGTCGATAGCGCCCTTCCTACGCAAAAAAAGTGAAAGAGAAGCTTATGCATTCATTGGTAACGCTTTGGTAAAAAGTTTTCATGAGGGAACTTTTCAAGTCCATAGGTGTTTCCCTAGACAATAGGGGCCCAGCTGGAAGCTGGAGAGACCTGTTTGGTTATTTCAGAAAAAACGTTATACAGTGCGACAAGGCAAACCGTATCAATCATGGTTACATGCTAAATATATTTAAAATAAAATCATATGCACAATGCTTCAACAATGTGAATAATTATTCACTAGAATTAAGTGAAATGTGTTTCACAAACCAGCTAACATTAATGAAATAAAGTATTTTTCATTTTTCTAACGACTCTTTAATTTTCGAATTAATTAAATTTTGTCCAAGCATTGCAAATATGACTATAATATGTTGACTATAACTGACATCACAAAAACGTTCTGGAACAAACCGACCTGATTAAAGAGAACTAGCGTAACTCGTGCAACTTCTCGTTGGACTTCTTCGAACCATACAAAAAAACTCAACACAAAGCCAATAGCACCAAGCAAAAGCGGGAAAACGTAAGCATAGCGGATTCCATTGTCTAAAAAATACACACAATAAGTATATTGAATCTTTGTACCAATGCCAATAAACTTTTTAAAAAACTTTTCATAAGTGTACAGCTCTTCCCCGAGACAAATTAAGGACCAGCCGCTTGGGCAGGGGAGTTTCCTACAACCTGGTCTATCGATTAAACCCTTAATCCCAAATCTGGATTGGTAGTTTTTGAAGAAATCGAAAAAGTTTGAAAAAATGGCCTAAAAACCGAAAAATTGACTATTCGTAAGTGTATAGCTCTTCCCCTAGACAAATTAGGGACGAGCCGTTTGTGTAGGGGGGGGGGGTTCCTACAACCTGGTCTATCGATTAAACCCTTAATCCCAAATCTGGACGGGTAGTTTTTGAGGAAATCGGAAAGATTTGAAAAAAGGCCAAAAAAGTGACTTTTCCTAAGTCTATAGCTCTTCCCCTAGGCAAGTTAAGGACCAGCCGCTTGTGCGGGGGAGTTTCCTACAACCTGGTCTATCGATTAAACCCTTAATTCCAAATCTGGATGGGTAGTTTTTGAGGAAATCGATAATTTCCGAAAAAATAGGCAAAAAAAATCAAAAAAGTGACTTTTCCTAAGTCTATAGCTCTTCCCCTAACAAATTAGGGACCAGCCGCTTGTGCATGGGAGTTTCCTACAACCTGGTCTATCGATTAAACCCTTAATCCCAAATCTGGACGGGTAGTTTTTGAGGAAATCGAAAATTTCCGAAAAAATGGGCAAAAAGTGAAAAAAGTACCGAGTTGTGAAGCTTTTCTAAGACCGTAGGGGGTGGGGTAGGGTAAAAATTGCCCTAAATTTTATGCAGGCAGGTAGGTGAAACGCTACTGAATCCATTGGTACCACTTTTATGAGAATATGACTGGTAGTTTTTTGGGAAAGCGAATTTTTCGAAAAAGCGTCTCAAAAAAAAAAAAAAAAAAAAAACCAGATCTCATCTGGAAAAAAAAAACGTTTTCATAATACCTGTTTAATAAATCAAACAGGAATTTCTGAAAAACCATAAACGACATATCTCGCAAACTAAAGAAAGTTGAGCAAACAAATCTGGAGGCAAGACTTGCAACTTTAGAATGCCCTAGGGGCACCCCATTGAGGCTTGGGAATTTCAAATTTTGTTAAGTTTTTTTGATTCTAATCTTTTTGAAAATTTTTTTTGAAACATTAAAAAAGCATATCTTTGAAACTAAGAGGATTTGAGCAGTCACATTTGGACAATGAGAATACCTCGACAGCACTTCACCATAGGGTTGAGAAATTCAAACTTCGTGAAGTTTTTTAAAAATAATTAATTTGAAAACTTTTGAATAATCATACAAAACGTGATATCTCGGAAGCTTAAAAAATTCGAGCAGTCACATTTGGAAGCCGTATTTGCAACGTATTGGAGAACGCTGACAGCACCCCAGACTAGCGTTGCTATTTCTTATTTGGTTAAGCAAACAGAGAAACGAAAATATATACTTTGCTTAGCGAATACATGAAATATGTAGTTCCAAGATATCAAAACTTCGTTGCAAGCGTTGCAAAATATTGGCGTGTTAGCAAATCAACACCTACTACGACTTCTACAATGTGCGTCAGAAGAAACGCCCGTTAAAATTTTTTAAGCATTGCAATATACGCTATAGCTTTAACGTGCAAAACATCTTTCGTTAAAAATATTACGTTGAAAAAGCTTAAACATGGAGAGACAGTGAAGCCCGCAAATAAATAAATAACATATGATCACTTACACGTATTCTTAATTGCCAAAATTCCAAATACAGAATTAATTAAAACTGATTTTGCAAATTATTGATTATCATTGGTAAATTTTTCTGGAAATCCTTCAGTTGATCTTTCTCAACAACTTTTCAGTTCGGCGGTGTTTTCGATCATCTGCGCCTTTCCAGTGCCTTTTGCGAAATCTCCGATGTTTATTGAAATACTATGGAGAAAGCACGTAAAGAATTAAATTGCCAGCGCTAACAATTTAAGCTGAGCTCGAATCAAATCAGAGGGTGCAATTTCATTATTTAGGCTTTAAACTGCGCGTTCGCGCGTCTACCGTGCATGCGGAAACTCTACGATATGATTTAACTCAGCAAAAACTACACTTATAGTTAAACAAATACCTGATACATCCTTCAGGCTGACAAAAGAAGACCACATCTGGTGGCAGATGAAAATCTTCATGATCCGTTACAGGGTACCGGCGTAATAATTCTGGTGTTTGAGCTACGCTATTACTATTGGGATAACGAGCACCTACAAAGCAAATGTAGTCGACCAATCTAGGGCAGAGATGCGAAACTGTCTCTTGTGGTATAGCCATGGTTTCATTATTTTATGACGACAGAAGTCTTCATCTCACCATCTGACATCTAGAACATGACCAAATATTTTAACAAACTTAATTTTATCACAGTTTTCCCTATTTGAAATTTTGATATTAGTTATCTAAAAGAAGTTCCCGACAAAATTGAGTATTGCACCACTCTTTTCTACTCCATTTGCGACATATCAGGCAGATAAAAACTGAGTCTAATCAAAACCTGTGGCATATTCTCAATGTGTATAATGTTAAATTGTTAAGAGAGAGAGAGAGAGGAGAGATTAAGACGCATAGTGACCTTGCATAACGAATTTCTTAGTAATTTATCGTAGCGTTCCAAAAAATCATTTTGCAAAAAACAAGGGCTCGTACGCAAAAAAGATGGGAGTTTTGGCATGCTAAAGCAGTTTTTCAGAAGGTAAAAATTCTAGTTTGTCAATGACATCCGAGATTTTTTCAAGCTCCCTAATTTTTTCGTCGAGCAATTCTTTTCGGCAAAGTTCGCCGATTGGAGATCCTAAAATGAGGAGTTCTTCTTTTGTTTTTATTTTTATTTTGGGGCATATTTTTCGAAATTGTGTTAAAATTGAATTATACTGTGTACTAGTAGTCGGTCCCAAAAAACAAAGTTCACACTTCTCAGTGTTTAAGCTCAGGCCGTAAATTTGTTCCGATTTCAGAATGTTTTTAAGGTCCCGGAGTACTACCTTATAGTCGTCGGCTAAATTCCCATAATCTAAATACCAGATGTTAATTTTCGACTCCAACTGTTTGACTAGTGTATGAACTGTTTCCGCAAAAAGGGGTGGGGCTTCAGGATCACCTTGCTGAGTTCCGTCTTCTGACGTTATGACAGAGCTTCCGTAAAAAAGGTAACTAGGTTTACCATACGCGCAATGGGTGTAATTATACAATTCGGGGCGGTTTGAAAAAACATGATTCAGCATTGTTTCTCTGTTTAAAGAGTTAAAGGCATTCTTAAAATCTAAAAGAACAGTGCATTTTGGATTGTCGTCGCGTTCAATTAGGTTTCGAAACGAGTGCGCAGCTATTTCTGCTCCTCGTTTGGTACCGCATCCTACCTGTACGTTTCCGAAAAAATTTTGTCGCTCGGAGAGGGCCCTGCTTCCAGCGCGTTTAGACGCGATACGTCTCAGCGTGTTGCCTATGGCAATCGGTCTCAACCCTCCGTCTATTTTTATGAGGGCGATAAGCTTTGCGCCAAAAAAGAAAGGTCTAAGTGGTTCCGGTATTTTGCGATCTCCAATGAGGTTTATCAGCTTAGTAAGCGATTTCTGAAAATTGAGTCCTGCACTGCCATTCGACTTACTAACAAGATCTTTAAAAATTTGAGGAAATATTTTATCAGGACCTGCTGCTGATTCGTTTGGAAAGGTCATTATCGCTTTGTATATGTCGAAATCGGTTACGAAAAAACTATCCAATTTTTCTGGATTTGGAGCTGCAAATTTGGCTCGCTGCGGGTGCTTAGACAACAATTTTTGATAGTTATCAGTTGAAAAAGGAGCTAATTTGTCATCCGAAGCAGCAAGCCTTATTCCTCCCTTTACATTTCCTTCATCGAGCTCACTACTTATTAACTTTATTCTCTGCTCGAGGTCACTCAGAGGCGGGCTTGAAACTTGGGGATGGGGTTTTGGAAGTGACACGTCATTTGCTCGAATTTTTTTATTTATCAAAGAGCTCATGCTTGTGGTCTGTTTGCGTCCACTTCTTTTCGGTTGCTCCAAAAAAAACAAGAACGACGTTAAAAAAATTAGCCAATTTGTAGCATCTTCTACATTGTAGACGATGTCATTTATTTTGTCCGACAGACTTTCCGCCAAGTGAACACGCGAGTCTTTTGGTACTCTCTTGAGTACTCGGACATTTGAGATGGCTGTATTAACATAATTGTCTAATACTAAATCATTACCTATTGTTGCTTTATTAACAGATTTTACATCAACGCATAAAGGACACTGAAATCATTGGGTTTTCTCAGAGTCGCTAAGAGAAATATTTACACAACTGATATGATACCAACTAGAACAACAATCACATCTAATCCAATGTATCAGTCCTGAAGGTTTTAAGCAATCTTTGCTTGTACACTCTTTGTTGTTTTTCCTCATCTTGACGCAGCATAAAGGTAAAAAAAAGGATTTTGACTGGACTTTAGGGGACTGAACTAACCCATGATAAGCGGTTAGTGGGAATTTTACAAATCAGCAAATAAAAAATTAGACAACTAAATTAATTTAAATTTTAAAATCGAATTATAAAAATCAAAGTTGCCTAAAACCTAAGTTGCATAGCCTAATGGTTGTGACAAAATTATTAAATAATTTCAAACGGATGCCGCGAACCAGGAGTCACCGTGGTGACTCACTTGATACATCCACTGAAACTCAATACCACAATTGCGCCTCAAGATCATGTGAAAAACCATCCAGCGATATCACAGAGTTTATGCGAGTCTTGTTAGAGTTGGTACCACATTGTTTGTGTTGGCATAACACCCGAAGACGAATAACTGTCCCGAGCAAGAAAACGACACTGCCCGGATTGTGATCGACTTATTAAATAGTTTCAGATGATTAATGCAAAAATGTTTATTTTGTGCGGGCCAGCTCCCTAAATTATGTCAAGTCATCACTGAAGCGAAGAGAACGTCAAAGTTTTGCAAGTCAATCCACAACCATTTCAGGGCTTTCATAGAACCCATATTCGAAGAATCCCTTGATGAGAGTACAGAACCTGGTAAAGAGACGAGGTGCGCTCCAACGACGAACAAACTTAGTCATCTGGCATGACACAATAAACAACTCGTTGACAAAACATCGAAGTAACTTCAAACCCGAGAATAAAACGTTACACTCACTCACTCCCTCCCAGCTATTAGAAGAACTCTGAACCCTAAACATCAACAACCAGGTAAAAGCCATCGTCTACACTCGCAGAGAACGTACTCGTGATATCTCCGAAGAGCTAAAATCCTGTGGAATTCTGGTTATCGACGTGATTAAATATCTGATATCCTTCAAAAAACGCAAAAATATCCAAAATGTGCCAGTCGGTCATATTTGGAAGTTTGATCTTGAGCTGAACGTCTAATCCTGATTTTGGGGAGAAAAGTAAGATTTTAAAAAATTCGAATTGAGCCTATTATGCTCAAGTTGCTCGCGACAACTGAAAATACGAGAAAAAGCAATCAGAATATTCGAGTGATAATCAAGGGAAAGTTGCTGGAAAAAGCCGAGAGTAAAATTGCTATTTGCAATTTTACCATAATAATCCAGCACGAGTAGAGCTATCTTGGTCCCGATAGAAAATCAAGAGTTACGGAAGACGGGTAGAGAAGATAATCATTAGGACCAGATTATTACTTGAGTGGAAAGGTGGACAACTGAAGCTGCCCAAAGGTTCAGAAAGAAAAACTTATTCTTGAGTTCAAAATTATTTATTCAAAACTCAACGAGATAGATTTAACTACCTTAAATCAATTCTAGAGTTGCTTCATCTTTATTAGTTATTCGATTCTAGAGGTCGTGTTGGTATGTGAGTACCCAATTTAAGTTTTTAGGTTGATCCATCTGAAATGGATCAAAGGTCCACTGGCCAATAAAAACTAACGGTACACTTGAGGTTTCGACCCTGTTTTTCAGGGCGTTCGCGTGTTTTAGGTATTTCGAGACCTGACCATTAGGGTGAGTCTTATTTCTGGAGTGGGCGGTATATTGGTAGTAGCCTTTAAGTTGTAACACGGTTTGTAGTCTCATGTCGCAATTGAACCCAATTGGCTCCGACCGCATGTGTAACATTCGCCCGGAAGATACATATCGACGGAAAACAAAACTAAGTCCTAATACGACTGGCTAACGTCTAAGCAGAGCTTTACAATTTTTTAACCGTCTCTACCAAGCCAGTAGTTTCGGTGGTCTTTCTAACATCGGGTCGACAAAAACGTTACTGCTTTCGGCTTCGGTAAAAACACTCAAATTAACTAGATTACATGCAGAAATAGTGAGCTCATGGCTGGGTCTCAGTATCCCCAGACCACGAGATCACTCCCAAAATCAGGGCTACTACTACTTGAATTATTATTGTTTTTGTTCAGTAGATAAAAATCATCATCTCCATCGAAGATGGATCAACCCTTTCCCCCAACTCCTAGCTTCTCATCCTAGCAAAATGAATTCAGATGTAAATTAAATTCAAATCAGGTCATGACAGGGAAGCTAAAAGTTTATATAAGATACTAAAAGTCTCAGTCCCGAGACCCCTCCGGATTCCTGAAACCGGGGAAATCAGGCCCTTATTCTCCTTCCGGAAGGCTGGTTTTCCAGCCTTCACCGTTGTTCGCAACGGCCTTGCAACTATAATAGCGACACAATAGTTGCAACTCGGAGCGGTGTCTGCTACTTCTGCAATTTGTTGTTGTTTCTCAATCACAATCTCCCTTGTTAACGCTATCGCAACTAATGTAACATTCGTCTACTGTAGTCACACATGAGGCTTAAGAAAAATAGGCCCAATAACCATTGTCTCAAGAGTCAGAGACCCTATCTCTTGTGTTTTTCTACCTCAAATCAGTCGGAGCCAATTCGGTTCGCTTGTGACATGAGACTACGACCCGTTACAGCTTAAAGGCTACTACCAAAATACCCCCCACTCTAGAAATAAGAACGTCCCCATACTTAGGTCTCTAGATACCCAAAATACATGAACGCCGTTAAAAACCGGGTCGGAACAATCCGTTAAGTTACTTTTTATTAGACAGTGGAACGTTGGATCAACCTGATGGATCAACCTAAAACTCGCCTTACCTCAACATAACAATCATAAAACACACATTAGAAATTTAAATTGGGTACTCACATCGTAGCACGCTCAAGAACTGGGAGTAATTAAGTTGGTAAGCAACTCGAGAATTAAATAATATAACTAAATGAGTTTAATGTTTATCAGTTTCAATAACAGGAACAAGTTTGAACTCTAGAGTATAGTTTCTCGTGAACCATTGGGACACTCAAGCTGTCCACC